CACTGGATACAACTTGCTCCATTTCAACGGACACTCTTCCCAAAGCTTTGGATACTGACTTCAATCAAGTTGAGAATTTCAAGTGAGATCTTCAATCAAGTGAATCCCATCTAACATGGACTGGATACAATTCATTCAAGAGTTTCACTATACTAACATTTTCTTCCTACAGGACACCACAAGGCTATTGCCATCCCATTTCAGCAGGAAGTAACTTGGAGGATACTACGCCCCCTTCCCCCATTGTTGTCACTTAGGATAGTGTATATACCTAGTTAGGGATAGCTTCCTATCGTTTATTGTTGGGATTGGAACAAAGTGTTCAGGCTTGATTACCTCTCTCAGATGACTTTAGGGTTTAGTTAAAATAGACAGCTAGGATGTGACATAAGCAGATTGTATCTTCTTATATTTTACCTTTATGATTGTTAATTTTGGATATTTTACAATGTTAAGTTTTAATCCTCTTTTAGACTAAAAGGGGAATTGTAGGGGAAGCTGTAGCCACTCCTACTTAGGGGCTGGCTTCAGGTGTGCCTGACCATGTTTGCGAAGTCGTGGTCAGGGTGACGAGAGCGAGACTTGAAGGAGATTGCGTCTCTCTTTCGGTTTCACTTTTCGGCTTGCGTACAGACTGCTGCCATGCCAACAGGCTAGGTTGCTCTGTAAGTAAGGCTTTTCCCTATTAAATACCCTTATATATCCACTTGGCTCCATATTGTTAATTTCCCACTATACCGTTTGAACAGGAGAAACATCTTGATGAGGAGAAATGATAGGTCATCCACCAAGGTACATCCCATGAGTTGTATAGAGACCTTACAAAGGTGGAGGGTGTTTTGTTCTTGTCCTTACAGAAAAACAGAAAAAAAATCCATCTCCAATAGCCAAAAGACACCAAACTTGTAGATGCCTTGATGGGGAATGTACTGTGTATGTTTATCTTATTGATTGTTAAAATACTGTTTGGCCAATGAGACAGCAAGTAGATGGGACTAGGAGTCAAAGAGGATTCTGGGAAATGTAGTAAAGAAGTGCTGATCCAGGCAGGAAGTGACATAGCAAGGAGACTCATATTTAAGTCAAGGAGAAACAGGAAGGGTCCCTTTTTCCCCTTCCTCCTCCAGCGGCAGGATGTGATCCACCAGCAAGGAGGGACGCCAATAAGGTGTCCAATAAAATAAGTCTTATAACATATATAGATTTATGATATTAAGACTGAGCTAGCAGATGTGGAATCGTAGTTATTGGCCAAGCAGCTTTGAACCTAATAAAAGTTTCTGTGTATTCATTTGGGCCTAACTCGGGCAGGTGACTGGCGTAAAGCTCAAACATGGCAGTGGGGCTCAGGCGGCATTTGGCAAAAAGATTTATCGTAACAATGCCTAAAGAAGAGAGGGTAGCTATCCAGAAAGAAGGATCTTACAAAAAATAATCTTACATATGGTAAAATATTTATATTAAACTTATATCTTCTTACTTCCCAGCACAATCACAGTCCCAATTCACATAAAAATCAAACCTGGCTTTGGAGATGGACTTGGCCCTCCTTCTCCAAATTCATACATGTTGTTAAAAATAAAATTCAGAGTTTCTGTCTCATATCAAAAGGCCATTGGTATAAGACAGAAGAATACAAAGTCTAGGAATACTATTGTCTTAAATCTATTCCTCACACTTAATTTCATCCTTTTTGTTACCTTTCCCTGTATGTTTACCTATGGAAGTTAAACCTTCTATGCTGATATTAAATATGTTTAAGTCTTCCACAGTGAACAAAAAATTTCCTAACAGCAATCTTTAAACTCTCCAGATAGAAGATGGGGCCCTACTTCATCGATTCCACTTGTTTCAACCTGATGTCTTTGTATTAGCAAATACCACCCTAAAACCAGTTTGGGACTATAATGCTCTAGACAACTCCAGACTAGCTAGCTAAACTAAAATGGTATACCTTCTTATTACACCCTGTCCAGAACTTCAGATAAAACTTCAGTCAAGCATCTCCCACCATGTAGAGACTAGTTACAAATGTTACAGCTAGTACTCTCGAGAATTTTTGTTGCTGTAATTTTTTTTCTACAGGATCTCATGGAGTCATCATCATCCCATTTCAATGGGAAGTAATCCTGAGAAAACAATGCCCCCTTTCCCTACTGTTGGCATTAACAATAGTTTGTATTTTTCTTTCTTTTCTTTTGTCACTACAAAAGGGATAATTCACCTGCTTAGGGTTGGTTTTAAGTTGTTTAGGGATGAGTATGGAAGGTGATGCACAGACTCAAGTATCTCTTTTAGATAAGTTTAAGGGTATGGATGGGAAAGGTATGGTTAGGACAGGATATAGGTAGATTAACATTTTCTAGTAAACTAACTTTAGCAACTGTTAGCTATAGATAACTTAAATTGTTAGATTCTTGTATGTTGACTGTTTAGGGTCTTCTCTCTGTTTATGATGTTTTGCATACATATATAAAATTATCCTGATGTATATACATTTTGTATATTGATACAACTTAGGATATTTTATCATATTGCACTTTACAGTTCTACCTCTAGTCAAGACATTTCATTCAGTTCTATCTCTGTTATTAAGAATTATATTTATGTATATAGTTACATTTTTTAAGTCATTGTCCTTGATAAATTATTTTGGGAAGCTTCAGCCATTGTACAACTATGTTTCTGAGAATTACAGATTATTATCACCCATGCTTCTTACCTATGAGATTAGTCAGACATAGATTTGATCTTCAAACACTTCATAGACCTAAAGAATATGGCATTTAAATGTTTTAATATTAGTATGCCGTTGACTTGAGACCCAATTCTTGACAGCACCAAGCTGTTCCCAAGTATATGTTTGGCACTGATGGCACTCCTGGAGTTCATTCTCTCCTTGCTTAATGGCCTCTTGGGCAAAGAACTGCCCCCACCTCAACTGCTGACTTTGGACTTGCTCTTCTATTGTGCTTCCAGGAAATAAACATAAAAGACTGCTGAACCTTACCAAGACAGCCTTTCAACCTTCCTGCTTCTGTGTTGGCCAGTCAGATATTCTAGGCCTTAGCGAAAGCTGGTTGTCCCTATGCTCCTGTGAGACTTGGGTGATTGTTGAGGTAGCCTGCTGTTTCTGTTTTCCCTGCACCTTTTGGAAGTTGCTTGCCTACACTTTCTGCCTACCCTAGTATTGTTATCTTCCTTCTCAGGTCTTTGATGAGGTTGAAGATTAGACTTCCACAATTATTGTTGTCTCTTCCTAGAGAGAAATATTAGGTACAAGACTTAAACTTTCCATCTTAGGACAACTCTATAGTAATCACTGTTATGCCTTTTCCCTAGAACTGGATATGTAGTTCTTGCCTTCTGCTCTTGTTGCTTCACTGGCAATAGGTCTTGAGGGTGTATGTTCTTACATTTCCTTCTCCTAGAGCATACTTGATATTGGCTATCTTTGTATATGTATGTGTGTATCAAGCCTAAATCTTTTTTCTTTAGATTAAAAGGGGAATTGTAGTAAGATATCCATCCCACCTGCACTTGTAGTGCTGACCACACCCATTTGGGTGTAGTTACAGGTGATGTATGTGATGAAGAATGGTTTTAGGCCTTGGGTCCGGACACAGGTGGCTCTCTCTTGCTTCTGGCTGGGTGGATCCTTGGACTGGGAATTTACAGTGGTCATCTGTTTCTTAAGTAAGTGCCTTCTCCCTGAATAAAATTATATTAACCTATATTGAGCTTAGTCCCGTGAAGCTTGATCTGTGCATCCATACAAGGCTTTCAAGAAAACAGATGTTCATACATATTTAGTCTACATAAAATATACAATTGAACATATCATGAACATAGTATCGATTAGGTTCTAGAATAACTATACCTTATAGATGGCCATATGTTGAATTGTAAGTGATAGTTTAATGCTGTAGCTGAATTTTAATATCCCCAAAGACACATGTATTGAATGGATGTCTCTGATCTATTATATTTTTGGACATGGCAGAATTTTTAGAAGTTGATCTATAATTCAAGGAAGTTTAATAATCAGAGACATGAATTTCCATGGAGTATTAACAACCCAAGTCTTTCTATTCTCTCTATATATTGGTTGCCGTAAAGTGAGCATCTTCTCCTGGTTTGTATTTTGACCATGTTGTACAATGCTGCTCTAAACCAGGAAAACATGGCTGTGTGGCCAAGTATCGAAGCTTGTGATACTGTTAAACAAGATAACCTTATTTTGCTTAGTGGTTGATATATCTACACAATTTATATGGTAGGGAAATCTAATGTATTTTCTGAATATATTCCCCCAAGGTAATTTCATTGAACTCTTTAGATTTTTAAGTTTACCATTGTTTTGCTTTGTTAAATAACAGGTTTTAGACAGTCTTACTATGTGTACCTGAACAGACTTAAGCACCTGGTCTTCTTCCTTCAATCTCCCTGACTTCAAGACTGCAGGTTTGCCCCATTACAGCTGATTTTCATTTAAACTTTTAACATCATAGAATTTGACTTTATACACTAGATTTAATATTGACTTAATATTTTGAGATTTTATATATTAGGAGTTAATAAAATTTAAACACAACTTGAACACTTGATGGTGACAATGAAATACTCCAAATACAGACTAAGGACTCTCAAAGTGTCCACAAATACAAAATGAATGGATCATTCATAAATATACAATAAAAATTTAAACCTCTTACCCTGTCATTCTTCCTTTAATTTTTCATCAAATTGATGAAATTTCCTGATCTTCCTTACTTTCCCATGACTTCATGGAATGTTTAAACAATATTATAAATTGTTCCAATTAAGCAAAAATATATAATTTCTTCAAAATCTTACATTTGATAAACTATTTTAGATAGACATTAACTATTTCCTAACTGTCCTGTGCCTCATTTTCAGATTTTATTGATAAATAACTATCATTCAGGCAATATCAGATGGCTATTGGCATATACAAATATTTGGTTACAATCACTTACTGGAGGTGATGGGAACCTGTAAAGACAGGAGCCCCTCAGGGCAAGAAAGACAGGTGTGTACACACGATCCTGGAGGGATTCTTGCTCCCGTGCTTCGCACCAGCCCATGTAGACTATCTGCAAGAAATTAAGTACTGTTAACTGCCAAAGTACACTTTACATATTGTAGTCTATTTGTGTGTCCTGTACTGTTATAATTTCATATAAAATTATTTGATTGATTAATTCCAAAGTCCCCTAAATGAGTCTTCCCATCAGTAGTGGATATGAACTACTCAAAGGACTTTGTCTTTGTGTATTTGTCATGCCAGCTGGCATGAGCTACTTTTCTCCTCCCTCCCTCCCTCCTTCCCTCTATCTGATCTTAAAATATTTTACTTAGTACTACTAACTGAACTTTTGTTTTTCTAATTATTTATATTAATTATATCTGAATGTTCTCATATCATAAAACATGAAAATGAGCAATGAAATGCCTTTTCTGCTATCTATCCACTAGAATGGAGCACCACATTCTCTGGCATCATAAGATAGGGTGTCTAATGCCCTTATTCTGAGCACTAGTCTCAGGTGGTAAAGGATATACTATTATGTTTTAAAAGCTTAAAAGAAATTTTGAGATTCATTTTTCACATATCAAGTTTGAATGACTGATAATAGTTCAGGGTCTTGTTGACTGAGAGAGATTTGTTTCTAAAGGAAAATTATGTGCTATGGATTGCTCCTCATACTCCACAAATTAATTTCTGTGAGAGTCAAACACACACAAATATTTTAAATATTATATCTTTGCCACAAGACATTTCACTGATTCCGTGTTTGAAGATACTTTTTACCTCACAAGTTTTACTTTTTTTTCTTTTTTCTTTTTTTTCTTTTATTAGTTCAAATTGGGAACAAGCGTGCTTCAGATGTCAATCCCTTCTCCTCACCCTCCCCTTGTTGAGCTTATTTTCTTATTTTCTTTGGCGATTTGTTTGTAGCATTTAGGAAAATGTCTATTCAAGTCTTGTGCATATTCTAAAATCAGGTTGTTTACCTGTTTGCTATTGAGTGTTAGGAGTTCCTGACATATTTTGGATACTAACTCTACATGAGCGACATGGCTTGTAGATATTTTCTCCCATTTTTTTTCAAATTATATATGTATATGTATATGTATATATTTATATTTATATAAAAAGGCCAGTAATGGCAGTATGTTATGCATCAATAGCAGCAACAGCTTTTCCAGGTTCTGCAGTCATTTGAACAAAACTGTAGAGACATCCAGCACTATCCATTTAAAAAAAAAAAAAGAAAAATCAAAATCCCAGAAAAACAGCACAGTTCTTTTTGTGGTACTTGGCATCATTTTTTTTTAATTAGCTTCTCAATCATAATCTGGAAGGAAACAATTCTGAGCAACATCATTAAAAACAGCAAGAGGCACCTAGGATTCCTCCATGTTCTGGCTATTACAAAAAATGCTGCTATGAACATGGTTGAACATACGAACTTGTTGTAGGAACATGCATTATTTGGGTATATGACCAAGAGAGGAATCCTGGATCTTGAGGTATATTGTTTTGTATTTTTCTGAGCAACCACCATACTAATTTCGAAAGTGATCTTACAAGTTTGCATTCCCACCAGCAGTGGAGGTGTGTTCCTTTTTCTCCACATCCTCTCAAGCATAGACTGCCATTGGTGTTTTTGATTTTTGCCATTCTGACAAGTGTAAGATGGTATCTCAGAGTTGTTTTGAGTTGCATTTCTCAGATGGCCAAGGATTATTAACACTTTCTTAAGGGTCTTTCAGCAATTTCAGATTCCTCTGTTGAGAATTCTCTATTTAGTTCTGTACCCCACTTTTTAATTCCATTGATGGGTATTTTGGTGGCTAGCTTCTTGATTTCATTGTACATTTTGGAAATCAGCCCTCTGTCAGATGTTGGGTTGGAGAATATCTTTTCCCAGTCTGTGGGCTGTCGTTTTGTCTTGCTGACTATGTCCATTGCCTTTCAGAAGATTTTCAGTTTCAGGAGGTCCCTTTTATTAATTGTTGATCTCAGGGTCTGTGTATTGATTAATTCAAGGGTATTTCCCACTTTATCTTCTAGTAGGTTCACTGTGGCTAGGTTTATTTTGAGGTCTTTGATCCATTTTGACTTAAGCTTTGTGCAGGACGAAAGGCTTGGGTCTAACTGCAGTCTTCTACATGTTTGCATCCAGTTATGCCAGCACCATTTGTTGAATATGTTCTTTGTTCCGTCATATAAATTTGGGTTGTTCATCAAAAATCAGGTGTTCATAGGTGTGTGGGTTAATTTTAGGGTTTTCAACTCTATTCCATTGGTCTACCTGTCCATTTTTGTGCCAGTACCAAGCTGTTTTCAGGACTATAGCTCTGTAATAGAGCTTAAAGTTAGGGATGGTGATGCCTCCAGAAGTTCCTCTATTGTACAGTGTTGTTTTGGCTATCCTGGGTCTTTTGTTTCTCTAT